AGGCTATTCTATCTAACCATGTAAAGAAAAGATCTGTATACTTACCTACTCTGAAGCCGCTCCGGTCTGGTCTCCAACATCGGCTTATGGATGCAGGAGAGAAAGCCGACAATGGCTGGAAATGCCTGGGAGATTGTCATCCATAGACTTACTATGGGGCATCTGTTGTCAGCTGCCACTCCTGTGCATAGAAGCCACTGACAGCTGATCCTGGGACCGGACCAGAGCGGCTTCAGAATAGGTAAGTAAAAAGATTTTTCTTCAAATGCCTTTCAGGACAGCACCTGAGAACGCATCTCCTACTCCTCTCGCAAGAAGCACAAACACACATCAACTTTAAATTGGAGGCCTCTCCTCAGTCCTCCGTTGTCGTGTTTCCTCCAGCCAAATGGGAACACACAGGAACTGTGGGACGCTGCGTTTTCTCAGGTGCTCTCTGAGTGAGGTCTCCAACTAACTTTTTTTTTGCTGGGGTCCTCCAGGCAATGTTACTGGTTGCTGTGGTGTTTTGTTGTTGACGCTGTTAGGTCAGTTCAAAGGTGGCTTTTTCTGTCTTTTTGTTAGGCTAAGAGTAGTTCAAGGGAATCCAGTAGCAAGAGGAAGTGTCCTTCATGCTAAAATAAATTCCCGGATTCTTGGAAAATGCCGTTCTGCAAGGAGTGTATCTTAGGGCTAGTAAAGGAAGAGGCAGCTTCCAGTCACTTTCTGGCTGCTGTGAAGGTGGAATGAAGTGCAACGTTGCATGATGCTGGGTTTGGGATACCATTGGTACAGGTGTCATGGTCTGATAGAGATTCAGAGGAAGACTAGGGGGAAGAGGCTGAGGATTCTTCAATATAAGTATAAATTGTTGCTAAAAGAGGTAGATTGCCTTCTCAAGGCGATTTGTGCGATCTTTAAAAGAAGAGAAGGCTCTCTCTGCATGATCGGATGTACATGGGGGTTAGCGAACCAAAGCGTAGATTTTTTAATTTTTTTTTTCCCTGTGCATTCAGATATGAGAGAGTGGCAGGATCCTGAAAGAAAACTGTTTTTTTCCAGATCCCACAGAAGGAGGTTCCTGTTTTGAGGAAGATACCTCAGCAGTTTGGAAGTAAATGCCTAAACAGGACGCAGTTTTTCCCAGGTCTCAAAAAGTACAGATTTAGCTTTCGAGGAGTTTGAGGGAAGTGATGGATAAAAGGATGGACTTTTGGGCCACATTTGGAGTCAATTCTGGATTGCACAGTGGATAAAAAAATCTTTCCCTGTTAAAAGAAGAAACAACCGCCAAAACATTTTTTTTTGCCCTCAGAGAAATCTGCAGCAAAGTTACAAGCCACAGGCGAAAAAGAAGATTTGGGGGTCACAGAAATCCAGAGAAAAAGGGGAGTTCTTTTCTGTGCTACTGCACAGCCAGAAAAGTTGCAATGATGCGCTGCTCTCGGTAGGAGGAAGACTACAGGTGTTGCTGCCACAATGAAAGACAATAACAGCAACCCTGTACATCCGGAATCCTGTCAGCAAAGGGCACAAGATAATTTGCGGAAGCTCCTCCAAGAAGATGTTTTGTCGCAGATGTGTACCTTGGTTTACGAACGCCTTGGTTAACGTAGTTTTTGGTTTACAAATGAAAATCCATTGAAAATAATGCCTCAGTTTCCGAATTGTTTTCGCAATACGAAGTGTATATCGGTGCCGATTTTAAAAATGCAATTTCCGGCTTTTATTTTTTTCTTCACTATAGCTCACAGAATTAGCTATCACTTTCCCCGGAGTTAAAGGAAACTTTGTTTCTGTTAAGAAACTAAAAGGAAACATTGTTTCTTTTAACTCAGGGAAATAAACTAAAAGGAAACTTTATTTCTTTTGGCTGGGGGGAAAGTGACAGCTGAATCTCTGAGCTATAGTGAAGGGACAAAAAGCGGTAATTAAATTTAAAAACCGGCACCATATTAAATAAAACAATGTTGTAGGGTCCCCCTCCTTTCATACCAAGTCCTTTAGGTCTGGTGTGGGTTTTGAAGGGGAACCCCCACGCCAAAATTAAAAAAAAAATGGCATGGGGGTCTCCCCGAAGATCCATACCAGACCCTTATCCGAGCATGCAGCCCGTCAGGTCAAGAAAGGGGGGGGGGGGGACGAGTGAGCGCCCCCTCCTGAACCATGCCAGGCTACATGCCCTCAACATGGGGGGGGAGGTGCTTTGGGGCAGGGGGGGGCTCCCCCCAAAGCACCTTGTCCCCATGGTGATGGGGACAACGGCCTCTTCCCCTCAACCCTGGCCGGTGGTTGTGGTGATCTGTGGGCAGGGGGCTTATCGGAATCTGGGAGCCCCCTTTAACAAGGGGGCCCCCATATCCTGCCCCCCCATGTGAATGAGTATGGAGTACATGGTCCCGCTATTCATTCACAAAAAAACAAAAAGTGTAGAGTGAAAAAAAGAACAGAACACGGTCTTTGACAAGTCCGTTAATAAAAAAAAAAAACTAAAAAAATGTCCCCCGCAGTAGATCCAACGTCAATTATGATGTCAGACCCCTGCAACAGTTTATCCTGAGAGTATGGAATGGGGATTTTACTTCACTGGACACCAAGGTGAATCTTCCCACCAGGATAAAAAGATCGCCCTGTTGGTGGAAGAAACAAGAAATTCTTTCAATAAGTCTGGTCTGTTCTTTTCTGGTAAGAAAGATTCTCACTACGGATCCCAGCTCCTGGGACTGAGGAGCGCACTTGAGAAGTTATGACACATGGGCTGTGGTCAAAACCATAAGCGACAAATTTCTCAAACTGGAGGAAGCTGAAAGATATTGCTCTAGCGTTATTAGCTATCTCCTAGAAGCTCCAGGGCCATCATGTGCAGGTCTGCACAGTCAACTCCATGGCAGTAGTCTATATAAACAAAGAAGGAGGCACGAAAGCAGGAGTCTTCAGAGACTGGCAGGGGAAGTTCTGGCCTTGGCAGAAGTCAATCTGGCGTCCTTGTCAGCAATACATCTCAAGGGCTTGCTAAATCCTGGTAGCCAACTTCTTAAGCAGGCACCAAGTGAAGGAAGGAGAATGGTGTCTAAATTGGGTTGTCTTTCTCAGCTTGGTTTGAAAATGGGGACAGCAGCTGTTAGACCTGTTTGCGAACTGCCTGAATGCCAACACCTGTTTGTTTTCCCCTTGAACAGAGAAGACTGATCAGTGGGAACAGATGCCCTCGCCCAAAAGTGGGGCTTCCCGCTGTGTAATGCTCTTCCCCCTTTCCAGCAAATTCTGCAGGTCCTGAAGTAAATTAAAGCAAAAAGAGTGGTCATTTTTGTAGCTCCCTTCTGGCCAAAAAGACTAGTTTTCCATTCTCCTCCAGCTAACAGTCAAACCATACTGGTCGTTTCCAGGAAAACCTGCTACAACAGGGACCTCTGTGTCATCCGAAGATAGAAAGCTTGCACCTCACGGCGTAGCTTCTGAGAAGCAACTGCTAGAGAAGAAAGGTTTCTCACAATGCCTAGTGGCTACCCTTCTGGCTAGCCACAAAAATGTCACGAGCAGTTTAGGGGAATGTCTGGAAGGTGTACAATTCCTGGTGCCCCTCCAATGAAAGACCTTACCTCTGTCCTGGAATTTCTTCAACAAGAAGCAGACAAGAAATTAGCAGTCAGTACTTTAAAGGTCCAGGTCACAGCATTTGGAGTCTTTCTGGAGCGCCCTATTTCTTCAGAACACTTAATCATTTAGATTCTTCAAGGCGTTATCCTGCTCCAGACCAGTTAAGGTATTTCCAAAATGGGATCTCTTGGTGGTTCTGCAAGCCCTGACCAAGTCACCTTTTGAACCTTTAAGCTCTGCGACTTTGAAGTTTATCACATTGAAGACTGCTACTTCTATCTATGACTTTGGCACACAGAATTAGTGACCTACATGCGTTCTTAAACAGAGAACCTTTTCTAATGATTTATCCAGATAGGATTGTTCTAAAGACCGATCCAGCCTTTCTACCAATGGTAGATTTGGTTTATTATGATTCACAAGAATCATAATAAATGTTTTGCCAACATTTTGTCCTTACCTGTCAGGGGAAGAAAGAGATTTTCATTCTCTGCATGAAAGAATAATTTTTACGCTATTTAGACAAAGAATTTCAGGAGTACTGTATATTTTATTCGTTTTGTATGTTGGGACCAAAAAGGGGCAGAAAGCCTCCAAAGGATCCATAGCCAGATGGCTAAGATTAGCAATTAAATTAGCTTATTCACGCTTAGACCTCGATCAATCGTTGAGGATTCACGCTCATTCCACAAGAACTATGACATCTACATGGGCAGAGAAGGCCAGTGCCACACCGATACAAATTTGTAAGGTCATGACATGGTCAAGCCTGTCCACCTTTTGTACGCCATTACAGGCTGGATTTATTGTCCGCTGAGGAGTAGGCCTTCAGTAGGAAGGTCTTGCAAGCTGTGGTCCCACCCTAAGGGGGTAAATTCTTGCTTATTCTTTCATGTGCTGTCCTGAAAGACGTTTGGAGAAAATTCAAGTTAGGCTTATCAGTAACTTGTTTTCTAATATTCTTTCAGGACAACAGTAATTGCCCACCCTGGTATAGCTGCGGTTGTGCTTATGTTTTTCAGATGAGCCGGAGGTACTCTTCCACAACTGAAGACTGGGGAGAGGCCTCCAATTTAAAGTTGATGTGGGTGTGTGTTTCCTGCAAGAGGAGGAGATGCTGCGTTCCCATGTGCTACCCTGAAAGACTACTAGAAAACAAGTTACTTGTAAGCCTAACTTGAATTTTCCTTTACAGGATTAGATAGAATAGCCTTAGAATGGGGGCAGGAGTAGGTTTAACCTTTTTTAAGTTTTTTTTTTTTTTTTTTTTTTTCTATTTTAAGTTTTGCTTTTCTCTATGCTTGTTTAAGGCAGCTTAAACTGCTTTTCTTCTGTTTGATGGCAAACAAAACATGTGTTCATGTAAATACAGATTCAGGATAATGACCTGTGTTTTTTTTTTTTTTTTTTTTCTCTCCTCTAAGGGTTCTTCAAAGAAAATACTTCTAGACTTATGGATGAATTGTTAAAACAGAAAGAACTGTTGGGTGATGAATGTTCGAAATATCCACTAGAATATGCAAATGGAAGCACTGACAAAAATGAGAAAGGTATGTTACAGACAGACAGAGCAGTTTTGTTACTTGATTTTTATATCTTGCATTCACATCCTGGCTTTGCAAATTCTGTTCCACTTTGCAATAATATTTTTGGTTTTATAAAGAACTCTTCAGTAGATTGTTGTCTAGTTGATAACAACCTGGCAGATTGCCATCACAGGATTTGGTGTCTGCTAACAAAGCCAATTTTGTTTGACAGACAAAGCAGCCAGTGTTCAGAAAAGGTTATTTGTCTTACCTGAAAATGGAAGTGATTTTGTAAACTGTCCTTATCTTATACTGATCATATTACTATTTGTTTTTACTATAAATGTCACAAAACAAAAGGGAGCCTCTGATTGATCTGCACACAGGAATAAATTGAACATTCCTTATTTATTTAGGGAGCTCTGTGAGATCTTTCATCTCAATGATGTGCATAATTATGACATCAGTGCTCCTCTTTACATAATTACACTGTGAGTGCAGGGCACTGTGGGGGCAACTTGGCTTACAGGATATCCTCGTTCTTCTAGGTTGAATGATGATAGAATCTTAGACCAGTGTTTGGGCTTTAAGCCATTCACTGCCAGGTCCGTACGTTGTTTTACACAATCAGACTCCTGCCTGTCAGATGGAAGCAGTTGGGTGGTGCCTGCCCCCGTTACATAATCCGGGCTCCACTTGCCCATCTGCGGGCTCTGGGCTGACATGGCGGTTAACGGCATGGTGAGGTAGGAGAGCGGACACATGTCTGCTTTCCTTCCCTTCTTGATGTGACTCGGAAAGCGAAGTGTATAAGTTTTGTATTAGGTTGACCCTCCGGAGTGTCCAACCCAATTGGTAAATATATAAATAAAAACAAAAACTTCCCAAAACTAACAAAATTGAAGAACCAGTGCGGTCAAACATTCATAAATAAACACCTGACTGAGCCACTAATTCCAAATAGCATATGCAGTGTATCACGTGCTTTAGATATTAAAATAAAGTGCAGTCACAGTATCTATATCATAAGTAAACACCCATCTGAGCTATAAATATATAGTGTAAAATCCATTGAAAAAAATGATAAATAGATGTGCAGTAAACACCGGCGAGCAATAAACCCCCAATATAAAAAGTGTATAAAATAAAAATGAATATGTGATCAATAAAGTAAATGCCCAACTGGGCTATCATACGCATGAATCATCAAAGTGCACAATGAAACAAATCAGGAATAATGAATATATGAAATTCCTACTAAAAACAAATTAAATAAGCACAATGTGAATTGAATAATGAATACCTAACAAAGCACAATATCCAGTCCAATAGTGATTATGTAGTCTCTTTCTTTCAGTCTTTAGAGTAGTGCACCAGTGACTTCAAATGATGTTTTAAATCAAGCTCCTTCACCTAAGGCATGCACGCTCACCTTAAAGGATAAGTTCACCTTTGGGAACATGTTACATGTTCCACCTGTCTTTAGGGTGGTACTTATAACATGTTCCCAATCCTGCAGCCGCCCAGTTACCAACCCCCCCCCCCTTCCCCCGCGACAGAGGTACGGAGAAAAGTTCCCTGTATGGGATGTACGAGCAAGCGGATACATTGAGAATCTGCAGGAGACCTGCATGGCATCAGCGATCTGCTTATCGCTGGTGCAATGCTTTAGGGGCTCCTAACACAAAAAATAATAAATGCACACTTTTTTACCTGCAAAAAAAATGTGTGTTTACTCTTTTTGTGGAAAGGTGAACTTATCCTTTAACATTTAACCCATAAAGAATATAGTTTTATTTTTATATACCCATTGGGTTGGACACTCAGGAGGGGGGTTTAATTAGCAGTTTGTTTTTGGTTCACTAGGGGGCAGCGCAGCACTACTTTGGGGTATTTGGTCTATTGATGTGGGAACACATTTAGGAGCTTGCAGCAGATTATTTATTTGTGCCAGCGCATGAGTATTATATCCTTATTTGAAATATATGCTTTCCTCCTAAATATGGTTGGACATATACATGCCTCCATACTAGTAAAAGTATTCCAATGCAATCATATGCTTTCTAGTTTAGTTATATACAACAAAAACAAAACATTTGATTAGGTTTTTAAACATTTAGACTATCTGGTGGGACAGATGAAAACATTGTAGATCAAAACAACTTTTTAATGCTATTAATTTTTTTTTTTTCTTCATTTAAAATGATTATATTGAACAATTGTGTTGGTATATGTATGACCAGCACATATAAAACCACCATAGGTTACTATGTATAAAGCTGCTCACGCAGTCAATTGTATGGATGCAGGTTAGTGAGTTGATGATTTTCTGCAGCTAAACTTGGATTATCTTCTTTAATTTAGAAAATCTGTGTTCTCTATACAGTGATTCGCCATTTACCTGTGTTAAAGGTGCTATCTCCAGAGGATGGGAAGACCAACATTGTGAAAGCTGCACAGAATTTTTGTCAGCTTGTAGCAGAGAAAGATAAGAGACCGTCAGACTTGGATGTTGAATCGCTTGATCGTATATTAAGAAGTAATTGGTTTTCTTCACTTTTACCCTCTATTTTTGTTCAAAATGTTCTCAAATATTAGTTTCAGACTGCTGTTTATAATAGCACTTTAGATTTTAATGTAGGGGCAACATAGTGTATTTTTTAAAGTAATTACAAAAACCAATATGTAGTACTTATTTACCTCACTTTTACACAGGTAGTAATATAGTGATAAATTAAAGACCTCAAGGAAAAGTCCATAAAATGTGGCTATATGTTAAATAAAAGCCATATCTTTAAAAAGGTGATGTGCCACCACTCTCTTACCAGAGAATGTGACCACAGATCATGCGATCAAAAACAGCGAGTATGGAAAATCAATGGATATATTGGATCCTAAATTGTCTCCACCAAAAAGACAACTCCACAGCTGGTAATCTCAATCCAGTGTTACACCTCAAGGAAAATGGGATGTGTACAAAGGGAACAAAGGCTCCTCATAGTGTAGTATTTAAAATAATCCAGAATTTAATAAAGTAATGCACTTACAAACATATGATGAAATTAGCATGTGAAATCATAGCAGTTTCCAAGCAACGACATTGTCTTATGATGAAGCGTGTAGGGTGGAGCTACAACTTATAACGTCATCACGTCACGCACTGCGGCCATTTTGTTGGTTTGGAACTTTTATGATTTGACATGCTAATTTCATATTGGTTTTTGTAATTATTTTATGTGCCTGCTTGCATTTTTGTGTTCGCTCCTTTCTCACCACATATATTGCATTTAGCGCAGGTACACATCACCATTATTGGATTACTTTTTTAAAGTGTCTACTGTTCAACTCATCTTTAAGTTGTTGAAGGAAAAATTGATCTAATGAAATAGGATGCTCACACCACCCTAGTTTATTATGAACTTCTCTACATCTGTATATCTTCATTTCTTGTTTTCTGAATGGTATGCACTTTAACCACTTCCGTCTCGTAGGACGTCATGTGACATACTCGGGTTTCAGTGGAGATATCTGGATGATGTTTGCAGCTACAAGCATCATCCAGATATCTTTTTTTTTTTTTTCAGCCGGCGATTCCCTCCTGTGTAAAAGCTGTCCTAGTGGTTCATTAACGACTGGATTATTGTGTGGTTTTTTTTTTTTTTTTTTTTTTTTTGTTTTTTTTTTTTTTTTTTTTTTGTTTTTTTTTAAACAGGCGGCGGAAGTGCATACCCTGCCCCCCACCACCCAGCAGCGCCTCTCTGTGCTCTCCTGTACGATTGGGGAGATGGAGAAGCAATCTGGTGGCGGTGCCGGTTTACCATGGAGTCTGACAAGGACCAGATCGTCCTTGTCTATGACACTGGGAGGCTGAAATTTCTTTTTTTCTGGAAAGTAGAGATCAATGTATGTGGGTGTTTTTTGTTTTTTTTTTCTCATACTTTCCAGCATAGAGGAGAGATTTGGGGTCTTAGGTCCTCTTTATGGAGAGATTTGGGGTCTGTCATGCCTTATTCCTATTACAAGGGATGTTTACGATCCCTAATAATAGGAATAAAAGCTATTTTAAAAAAATTAAATGTAAAGTGTAAAAATATAAAAATTCTTAAAGCACTCCCGTCATGCTCGCGCACAGAAGTGAACGCATACGCAGGTCTCGCCTAGATATGTAATCGAAATTCGAACCACACATGTGAGGTATCACTGCGATTGTTCTAGAAAGAACAATAATTTTACCACTGGACCTCCTATGTAACTCTAAACTGGTAACCAGTCAAAAAAAAAATTTTAAGGCGTCGCCGATGGAGATTTTTAAGTGTTGTAGTTTGGTGCCATTCTCGAGTGTGCGCAACTTTAAAGCGTGACATGTTTAGTATCTGTTTGCTCAGCGTAACACCACCATTTATATTTTACCAAAAAAATTGGGTTATATATTTTTTTTTTGCATTCAAATTCTTTAGTGTTTTTAGAAATTGCTGCGCAAATACCATGTGCCATAAAAAATTGAAACGACTGTCAATTTATTCTCTAGAGTCTCTGCTAAAAATATATATATATAATGTTTGGGGTTCTGAGTAATTATGATTTTTACATGTTGGAGAGAAATGCCAGAATTGGCCTGGTATGGAAGGTATGGCAGGGCTTCAAAATACACCTTGTCTCCTTTCCATCAAAATACAAAATGTAATTTATAGACCTCAGATTTAAAAGCTTGGGGATCTCGGTGCTGTTGCCCATGTGGGGTCAGTGCGTATTTACAGCAAGTGCTTCTAGTGTGGCATGCAGCTGTACTAAGTATAACGGGTTGTTCTGGTTATAAAATCTGGGCTTATTTGTTTGATTGCTTTACATTAGCTAATTACAATGTTGATCTCCTAATTTATTTGGTTAATTGCTTAGTTAGGTTACATTACCACAGTATAATCCTTGTTAAAAGGTAAAGAAGCTCTGATGTCTGTGTCTGCAGGGGGCAGCCTCATAGGTTTCAGTGGGCTGGTATATAGGAGACAATTTGTCTACCAGTCCCATAGAAGCCTGAACTGTGCAATCATGGATGTCAGATTCAGATCTAGATGCTGGTGGAGAGAGATCAAGGTAAGTATAGTGATTGTAGTGGTGAGAGAGAAACATGGGGTATATTACTGTATCCTTTATCACCCTGGGTAGTCTACAGTTCTCAGTGGTTTCATTTTTGGGGGTTCATCTTCCAAAAACATTTGGGGGGACAAATGTCCATGCCGCTGGTAAATTATGCCACTCAATAGATTTCTGCTTTTTTTTGGGGGTGTTTGTTTTATCTTTGTCCAGTAAATCATAAAAATGTAGCCTGAAAGGCAAAATGGGTGCCATTCCCCAAAGGCCATAAAATATGCACATGCAGTAAGTAGAACACACATATAGGTTATGCCTATAAAATGTAGCAGCTCTATAAGGCCTCATTCACATGGGCATACTTCAGTATACACCCAGGTGAGGGTCAGGTTTGCCTGCACAAGGATGCAAAGGTGTTCCATGCAGGCTGTCCCATTCATGTCCGTTGGGACGCAGTGGCTGCATAGACACACCCACTGCTCCCAGTTTGACATCGGTGCAGGTGCATGTTCCCAGACACAGTGTGCGTTCAGGGGCATGCACCCACATGGATGTCAAATTAGGAGCAGGGGCTGTGTCCATAATGACTATGCACCTTTTTTACTATCTTCCATCAATATCTGTGAGAAGCAGTTGGTTAGATTTTATTTGGATATTCTAGACTCCCATAAGCTAGAACCAATGAACTTGGTGTTTGAAAAAAGCATGACACCTTAAAGTGGTTCAAAAGCCTAAATCATATTTTACCTTTAATTTAATTTTACCTTTAATGCATTCTTTACAGTAAGGCAAAAAAAGTTTAGGTAGCAGAATGCCCCCTTATACTTAGCCTGAGCCCTCACTCGATCCAGCGCTGAGCTCGTCAGCAGTGGCTTTCTCCCTTCTCCCTGCTCTTACAGGCTTGGCTGAGAGCAGCGTGAGCCATTTGCTCCTGCTGCTGTTGGTCAAATCCATGTGACAAGGGAGCAGAAGGCGGGGCCAAGCCACACAGCAGGCAGAAGCAACCCAGCGGGTGTGCTTCTATAGCAAGCTGCTGGTTTATCTTGCATCCATATATCTAATCCTTAAAAAAGACATAGTTTCCCATGAGTCATCAGACATGTACCTTTAAAATAGTAGTGCACTGCAATGAAAATTCTGGTGCCGAAACCAATACCGAAAATTCAGAATGCATGTGGTCAAAAACCGAAACCAAAATGTGTGCGTATGTGGGGGTGGGGAGGCTCCAATTTATAATATAGATAAATATATATATATATATATATATATATATATATATATTATAATTTAACCTTATGATTTTATTGCTACCAATAGTCCCCTATGTGATAGCATATGAGTGACAGGTTCTTTTTGTAGGGGGGAGGGGGTGGGGCAGTGTGTGCAAGGAGGGTGCAGGAGAGGAGCAGTGTATATAGAGCGGCTCCCTCACTGGCTGTCACTATATGTCAGTGCCAGTTTTTAAATGCAATTGCCGTTTTTTTTTTTTCTTCACTATTATTATTATTATACAGGATTTATATGGTGTCAAAGGGTATGCTCAGCGCTGTACAGTAGCAAGGGGGACAGAACATGAGACAAGACAGTAACCATACACTACATGAGGGGTTCGAGGGCCCTGCTCTTTCGAGCTTACAATCTAGGAGGGAGGGGAAGGTGGTACAGGAGGAGATGGCTGTGGGGGATGGAGGTGGGTTAGTTGTTAGGTGAGGTTAGTTGTTAGGTGAGGTTGGGGTAGGCTTCCCTGAAGAGGAGGGTTTTCAGGGTGCGCCTGAAGGTGAGGAGGGTAGGTGACAGTCTGATGGATTGGGGTAGGGAGTTCCAGAGGATGGGGGAAGTCCTGGAGAAGTCCTGCAATCGGGCGTGGGAGGAGGAGACCAGGGAGCTAGAGAGTAGGAGGTCCTGTGAGGAGCGGAGGGCACGGGTAGGGTAGTATTTGGGTATCAGGTCAGTTATGTAGTTCGGGGCAGCACTATAGCTCACAGAATTAGCTGTCACTTTCCCAGGAGCTAAAGGAAACTTTTGTTTCTTTTAACTTGGGGAAATAAACTAAAAGGAAACTTTGTTTCTTTTAGCTGGGGGGGAAAGTGACAGCTAATTCTGTGAGCTATAATGAAGAGAAAAAAAAGCCAGTAATTGCATTTAAAAACCGACACTGACATATGACAGCCAGTCACTGTATACACTGCTCCTCTCCTGCCTTTCACAGTAGCCCCCTGACATCTGCAGTACACACAGTCTCCTGTATCAGCTAAATTTTTCTTGCCGATAGGGCTATTTTCAGCTGGTATGTTTCTGTGGCTGAAATTTCGGTGCATCCCTACCTTAAAATCCAAGTTGGGGAGAAAATATGTTTTCTACTGTTTTTAACATGACATTTATAGGATGTTTTCCTTTTGTAGGTACGCACAATTTCCCAGACCCTGACTTAATATTAAAATTTGGCCATATAAACAGCACACTAGGTTTTCTGCCATGGCATATACGACTTTCAGAAATTGTGTAAGTATGTAAAGATGAATAAATACTATGTAAAACTATTAGATTTTGTATATAGTAAGTAACAGGATAATCTAGAAATAGTAATGATGTACCTATATTGAGAATATAGCAGAATGATTTTAAAAATGTTGAAGACTAGACTTTGGGCACGTGTCAATGGGCTATTGTTCTCTCCCTATACAAGTCTTTGAGAAAACAAAAGCATCTTAAGAAGGTTAAATGTATGTCAGAGAAAGGACAGGTATAATAAATTCAGAATGGTCTCAGAAGCATCTCAAGCTGATATTAGATGGGTTGCATTTGCCCTTTGAAGCCCCTCAACACAGATCTTGCAGTATATTAGAATGTCTACATGGCAGAATAGATCTGTCTAGCACAGATAGTGTGTTGAAAATACTCTTGGCTTTTTTTCTGTTCATTCAGACTTTAACATTTTATATTATTTTTTTATTTACACCTTCATTTCAAGGCACACCCAATCATATGTTTTATGATTTTTTTTTAATGGGCTACATATCTTCTAGTAAGTTCAATCTCCTATTAATTTAAAGCTCAGTTAAAACCTTTTAATATGTTACCGTAATACAGTCCAGCTGCATATACAATATTAAATATACCCGATCAATAGCACACACTCTCGCTGCTCCAAGGTGGGTCGGTTGAAAATTGTATCATGTGAGGGTGCTAGCCGAATTGTAGCTGTAGCACTTCTATAGAAAAGATTAGGATGGCTGCATACCCAAACGTGAATTGCTAAAATCAACTTTTTTGTAGCAAAAAGTTTATTCAGTGCCTTGAAAAAGTATTCATACCCCTTGAAATTTTCCACATTTTGTAATGTTATACCAAAAATTAAATGTATTTTATTGATATTTTATGTGATAGACCAACACAAAGTGGCGCATAATTGTGAAGTGTAAGGCAAATGATAAATGTTTTTCAACATTTTTTTACAAATAAATATCCAAAAAGTGTGGCGTGCATTTTTATTCAGCCCTCCTGAGTCAATACTTTGTAGAACCACCTTTGCATATCTAGAGAGTGCAATGTTTGCCCATTCTTCTTTGCAAAATAGCTCAAGCTCTGGCAGATTGGATGGAGAGCATCTGAACAGCAATCTTCAAGTCTTGCCACAGACTCTCAATTGGATTTAGGTCTGGACTTTGACTGGGCCATTCTAACACATGAATATGTCTAAACCATTCCATTGTAGCTCTGGCTGTATGTTTAGGGTCCTTGTCTTGATGGAAGGTGAACCTCCGTCCCAGTCTCAAGTCTTTTGTAGACTCTAAGAGGTTTTCTTCTAAGATTGCCCTGTATTTGGCTACATCCATCTTCTCATCAACTCTGACCAGCTTCCCTGTCCTTGCTGAAGAAAAGCATCCCCACAACATAATGCTGCCACCACCATGTTTCATGCTGATTATGGTGAGTTCAGGGTGATGTGCAGTTAGTTTTCCGACACACACAGCGTTTTTGCTTTTAGGCCAGAAAGTTCAATTTTGGTCTCATCTGACCAGAGCACCTTCTTCCGCATGTTTGCTGTGTCCCCCACATGGCTTATCGCAAATTGCAAACGGGTCTTCTTATAGTTTTCTTCCAACAAATGGCTTTCTTTTTGCCACTCTTCCATAAAAGCCAGATTTGTGGAGTGCACGACTAATAGTTGTCCTGTGGACAGATTCTCCAACCTGAGCTGTGGATCTGTGCAGCTCCTCCAGAGTTACCATGGGCCTCTTGTCTGCTTCTCTGATTAATGCTCTCCTTGCCTAACCTGTCAGTATAGGTGAACGGACATGTCTTGATAGGTTTGCAGTTGTGCCATGCTCTTCATTTTCATATGATGGATGGAACAGTGCTGCGTGAGGTGTTCAAAACTTGGGATATTTTTTTATAACCTAACCCTGCTTTAAACGTCTCCACAACTTTATTCCTAACCTGTCTGGTGTGTTCTTTGGCCTTCACGATACTGTTTGTTTACTAATTTTCTCTTAACAAACCTCTGAGGGCTTCACAGAACAGCTGTATATATACTGAAATTAAATTACGCACAGGTGGACTCTATTTACTAATTTAAGTGACTTTTGAAGGCAGTTGGTTCCACTAGATTTTAGTTAGGGGTATCTGGTAAAGGGAGCTGAATACAAATGCACGCCACACTTTTCAGATATTTATTTGTAAAAAAAATGTTGAAAACCATTTATCATTTTCCTTCCACTTTACAAATAAGTGCCACTTTGTGTTGGTCTATCACATCAAAACCCAATAAAATACATTTGTTTTTGGTTGTAACATGACAAAATGTGGAAAATTTTCAAGAGGTATGAATACTTTTTCAAGGCACTGTAAAGAGCTCCACAGATGGCAAACAGGGGAGACAAAAAGGTTAACTCGTTACACACTGCAAAAGTGCTTAGTCAAGACCTAACTGGCAGGACTGCTGTATCCACTTAACTACCTGATTAACCATTGGCACAGGTGTGTTAAACAAAATTAGGAGGATTCTGACAGCCCCACTTTTTAAGTAGTAGTGCAACTTGAGACGAATGCAGGCCATTGACGGTTCGTTTATCGGTTGTTGTTTTTTTTTTTTTTTTTGTCCGAAAAACGAGACATCGGTCGTTCTGTTGCCACCAATGATTGTGAAAATCTGCCGTTTTTAACAAATTTTCCAGCATGACCGATTAAAAGAAATGAGGAGGAACTGCGAAAATCGGCCGATGCCATTGCCCCCACTAACCGTGCGAAAATCAACCAATGCCATTGCCCCACTAACCGTGTGAAAATCGACCAATTATTCTTTTGGATGAAAAACCAGCCGATAAATGAACCGTCTATGGCCTGCATAACATGTCCAGTTTTACTTGTATACAGTAATTGCCTGCTGTGTTACTGTAGTTTTTCTAGAGTGGATTGTTTAGCTTTTTAAATGTAAAATTATCTATTTTGTAGCTTAGGTGCAGATATAAATTCTTAATTTGTTTTTGTGATATATTTATTCCATTTACTTGCATGCGTTTATTTCAATTTGTCCCTTTTATATGAAAAATATACATATGAAAGATGTACATACTTTCATCTGTATATTTTTCATATAAAACAGGTTGCATAAGGTAACTTGCACTGCAATATGATGTTTTTGTCTTTTTTTTTTTTCCCCTTTTAGTACTTTACCATCACATGTGAATATCCAATACGAGGACTTTTTCTCCGCACTCAGCTGCTATGCAGGCTGTGAGCAGCGATTTGGGAAATGACCTCACTTTCTGTTGAGCCAATCCTGGCTCCCTTTAAAAGGGACTCAATACATTTGTTTACGAACAAGCAGTCTGTGACTTCAGGCACTCTAATGGTTTTTGGCCAGAACTGGTCTTATCTGTAATACATCAGTTATTTACAGTGACTAAATGATGCACAGACTGAGATCTGTCAACAGCCGAATCAGGGACATTTAAATGATAAACATGACAAAGTCATGCCTATATTCACATGTGGACAGTGCTTTCATGTACATCAAGAGCTTATTTGTGGAGTCCTGCTTTTCATGGTAAGGGCATCTGTAGCAGGGCCCTGCAATTGCTGGGTACATTGAGAACATCCATGACAATGACTACCTATGAAGTAAGTGTTTCAGGCAGCGTTCCGTCCAGCTGTTTCTATATTGTATGGTCAGTGAGTGGACATTGGATGTGTTACTTCTCAACCTACTTCACAGATATTTGGAATGTAACCGTTGGAAAAAGAAGTGAACACACAGAACCAAAAATAGCTTTTGTTGTACATGGACATTTAAATATCCCTCTGTTGGCATGAAGTATTTTGCTGTGAAAGAGTAACCAAATATGTATTTAAATTCATATTTTTGGTCTTGATTCCAATGAGTAAGTGGCACGAAAGTAATGAGAACTGTTTAGATATTTGAATCAGTTGCACTGAAGTTACATGCCAACCAACTTTGTAAGATATCTTCTTTTTATTTTTTTGTTTTTTAAGTTATAATTTATAATACTTTTTCAAAATAGGGTTTTCCAGAGCTACTATCTTAGGGCGTAGGGCATTTTCTCTCAAAATTGACCTCTGTATCTGCAAAAGGGTAATTGATAAGCTCTACCATTTTTAAATAATTCCAATAAAAACTTTTTTTTTTTTAATAGTGGAGAAGGGTAACACATTTTGTGATCCCCATTAGAGTTCCCCTTCACTTCCTGTTGCAGTAACAAGTTTCACTGAGGCAGAAATTAAGGGTAAATTTCCCCCCTGGAGACAGACGGCAGTAAAACCCTAGAGTAGAGAAGGAGTAGAACCTTACTTGGGGTTATTGTAGTGTCTCTGGTGCAGACATATCCCACAGCTGGGCTTCAGAACTTCACGTTGCCTCAATCCAGTATATATATTACAAAAAAAAAAAAAGTTTAAAGCGTACCCATCATGTAAAACTTGGTATATGCTGTTATCATGCTCAACAATGAGAATAAAACAAAGTAGCAAAACATCCAATCCCTGCCAGCCCCTATAGCACAAAAACGTCCGTTATTCATGACTAGTGGCTGACCAGCACTCATGGTCACTTTTTAGCAGCTTGTCTTAGGAAAACTCTGGGTAAAAAGCTGCTGATTTTACATGATAGAAAATAGTGTTACCAGCAGAAATTGACAGTATAGTTCTGTGAGGAACATAAAAAAAACACTATAGTTGCTGTAAGCAACATCCCTTTTTCTGGAACTTTCCAATTAATACGGTTAATGGACGATGCCTCTTGTAGCAGAACACATTTTATCCTATTTGTCAAGCTGTATATTTTCTTTTATTGTGTTCAGTTGGTTGCCATGTAATGCTTAGAAATGATATCCCATTAATGGAAGGGTCCATGCGATAAATGCTGCCTGCAGTAGCCTCTGCTTAGCTGCTATGGTCAGTTGGTGCAGATCTTGCCAGAATTATGACTGTTTTTTCAGGGTTTTTCTTTTTTTTACAGCTGTTTCATATATCAAAATGCAGTAATGTTCTAGAATCCTGTCCATGCATATTGAATGTTACGTGGACACTGCCACATCACTCTGATCTTTATAATACATTTGTGCCAGAAGGTGAATAAAACTTTGTTTAAAGAAAAAGAAACCTCTCCGAAATCAGAATTGTCTTTGTTTTTGAGGGCTATTCTATCTTCTTGAATAAAACAGTCCTGTGCTTCCTGTCTTAACTGATTCAGTTGTTATTTTTAAAACACCAATGTGTTCTTTTTATTTTGCTTGAAGTATAAACCCTGTTGATACTGTCAGCATAGAAATATGGGAGCAGCTCTCACCAACATGCTTTTGAAAATGCAAGGTCTAGGACTGTCCTTGTCATGGTTGCTTTACTATTTGAGAGGTTTACTTCAATGTGCCTGTCCCCAAAAGACCCTTCTTACTGGACCCATCAGTCCCATGTAGTACCTTCGATCAGCTAATCCCTGGGTCCCTTTACTGTTGCTATTCTTTTCTGCAACCAATATAATGTGCCTGTTGGGTGTTTTGACTTGTATGGGAGGCTTGTGTATCTCAAAGCACAGTCCTTAGTAGTTACTCCTGGTGAAGACTTACCTTAACCATAACCTTAAGTCTTCTGCTAGCTATGACTTTTGGCAAAGAATTTACATTTTGTCTTGTTTACAGGTATGAAATCAGTACTGTGTTGCGCACCCCAGTATTTGCATTCCCTTTTTGCACTTCATCTTTGATGACATACTGGACCAAGTTCTTCAAGGATTCTAGGGTTTGATTTTCTGTACTAGCATCATACAGTTAAAAACAAAAAAAAAAAAACAACAGCAGTTTGGTTTTCTCAGACAGTGTAGATCACAAGAACATTTAGTCTGGCTCTATTTTTTGTGAATGCAGTGACGACCAATTACAGCTGTCACAAATGTGAACACTGCCTGGGATGTAGGCAGCAGCAGATTCAAGGTGCTGGGGTTTTAATTAATTTGTTTATAGATTTTTTTTAATAACTTTCACTTCCCTCTGATGTGAACTGTACAACCTGTACATAATTGATGCGTTGTATGCACAGTTCTCAATCTTACTTTATTTTTCTTACGTTTGCTTGAAAGAATAGCTCTACTTTTGTTGAGAAAAAAAAATTATCCCCCTGGGTTTTCAATATACATTGCAGGGATTTGAACAAACGTTGCAGAAGGTTCCTACCTTTTTGTTGCTCTAAAAAAGGTATAGCTGTTTGTTTCACCTACGCAGTCTGATTTTGAAAGGGAGGGTCTAGTTCATTATCAGCTGGTGTTTTTTGTTTTTTTGTGTTTTTTTTATGAGAAAAAGCTGCAGAGTTTGCATCCCTTTAGAAGTACTTGTAGGCATACCAAGTGTAATAGGTATGCCCCATTTGTACTTTAGTGCAAACTTGCTGGGAAAATCAGTGAGCCAATCACCCAGGTGGGAAATGACGCTTCTGGGGGTGTTCTGTACACCAAGAATTCCTTCCAGTTGTCATTGCTTTGAATTTTGCTAAAAATTATAGCAGCTCGAGATTAAAAAGGAAAGGTCATTTTTAGTAACATTAAATTACAACATAGGTTGTGTAGCAATTGTATATGCATTTTTTTTTCTTTTTTTGCTTTTTCTCCCACAAATATTTAGTTATTTACCGGTAATTCTATTTCCAGGAATCTTGCAGGACAGCTTACGAGAGAGACTCTCTGCCTAAACAGGAAACACATGATCTACATTAATATAAAAGTCCTGGTTGGTACCGCAGATCCTCAGTTATAAGTTATTGTCAAAAACCAAAAAATGTTATGCTAAACCAGTGTTTCTCAACTCCAGTCCTCATGGACCCCCAACAGGTCATGTTTTCAGGATTTCCCTCAGATGAAACAGCTGTGGTAATTACTAAGGCAGTGAAACTGATCAAATCACCTGTGCAAAATAATGGAAATCCTGAAAACATAACCTGTTGGGGGTCCATGAGGACTGGAGTTGAGAAACACTGCGCTAAACCAAGAGGATAACCCAAAATAAAGATAAACAGAACCAGCAATAAGAGAAGGAATTAGCGCCATCCTGGAAGATTCCTGGGAGTAGAATTAGCAAGTAAATAACGCCATCTTCCCAAGTCCTTTTTGGCCTGGAAAAAAAGCATGAACACACTGAGTGCTGTTCTCCAATCTTTCTTACATTTGGTGTAGAATTGTGGAAATATCGCACATGGGAACCTCTCTATTTTTGTTTTTTTTCTACCTTGCAATAGCCATCAGGAACCTCTTGACTAAAGGCTCTTCTGCCAACCGTATTTCTAGAAAGACAAAGTACCTACTTGTACTCTAAGGATATTGCCTGCCAAATGAATAGCTGTTCTATCCTGGAGAAACCTGAGGACCTTGGGAACAATTGGACCCTCCATTTGTTTATTGGATCTCCTCCAAGATAAGAATTTATTCCATACCTTTTCATAAATGGTGTTTGTGGAATGCTTCCTGTTTTCCATAATTGTATTTATCAATTTTTTTAGTTCTCAAGATGTCCCTTTCATAAGCCAAGCAATGAGTAAAAAATGGGTGCATCACAGGCCCCCTGATGTATTAAATCCGGTCTGCATGGCAATATCTATGGTTCTGTTGTGCTCAGCCTACACAGACCTGTAAATCAAGTCCTTTTTGCCAAAAAGGTGCTGTCAGAATTATTTTCGTCCTGGATGATTTTACCTTTTGAATTATTCTCAGAAATTAGTTGGAACAGTTGAAATGCATACATCAGACACCCTTCCCTAGGATGAACCAGGGTGTGTACTACCATACTCCTTGATCTTTCTGCAAGAAAAAATTGTTCACTTTCTTGTTTTCTGTGGAAATGAAAAGTTCCACCTTCAGGACGCCGCACTTTTTCTGAAAAGTTCCTGAATTAAGCATCACTCTGTTTCCTGCTGAAGAAATCTGCCAAAAAGTTTAGTTGCCCTTTCAAATGAAGTGCCGAAATAGACAACAGATTTGTTTTTGCATGCAATCTGCATAAAACGATGCAATTTCATGCCTTCCTGCCTGTTGATATAGGATGTCAGTGTTACATTTTCTAAGCCAACATAATACCCAAATAAACTTTCACAATATCAGGGGCTGGAATGCTTCCATTATCACTCTTAATTCTCTCATGTTGCAGGAACTGGTTGCCCAAGCCTGGCTCCATTCTCCCTGTGACATGTGTTGCTCTATGTGGGCTCCCCAGCTCTCATCTGTAGTAATTCTTAACAGGCTCCGCTGCGACCAAAGGCA